AAAGGGAACTTTGGGGAACTGCATTCCTGAGGTGCACAACTCCTGTGGTGTGTGGCTCTTGTTAATCCCGCCGGGCAAGAATAAGATCACTACCACAATTTTTGAGTTAAAATTGAAGCAAGCTTTATTTTAATATTATTTGGTTTGTTTTTGTGTTTTCGAGACAGGGTTTCTCTGTAGCTTTGAACCCTGTCCTGGAACTCGCTCTGTAGACCAGGCTGATCTCGAACTCAGAGATTCGTCTGTCTCTGCCTCCCGAGTGCTGGGAAGCAAGCTTTATTAAAAACAGGCCAGGGTGATGGATATCGGCCAGGTTCATACCTGGGATTTTCAGAGAATGGCTATGAATTACATTAGTCCAATGCCTATAAAGGCAAAAGCCACAAGGCTATGTACTTCGTGCCTTTGTCCAGTCAGAGACAAGCATACATCCTGACGTACTTCCTGCCTACATACCTCCCACCTACACATGATCAAGCACATCCTGTGCAGTTGGGGCAACCAACCTTGTTTGCAGAAGCGAACCATGTGGCTTGTTAACTTACGGGCAGCAGCCCAGCATTTCAGGAAGTTATCTGTCCTAGGGCAAGTGGGATGCACTGGTTAGAGGCGTTTTTTGTTCTGTTTTAAACACCGTGATTTAAACTTAAACATAGCTGTAGCTCTCAGACTCTGAATCTCCAGCAGAATTGATGCAGACCCCATGAGAGCACTGAATGACAAGAAGAAATAAAAAAGAGGACACGGCCGCTCCTAGATATGACAGAGGAGACAGTTTATAGTAGATACACAGGAGAAAACAGCCGGAGGCGCCTGGGAGAGTCCAGAGTGAACGTGACCTTATTTCAAGCAGGCAGAAGAGATGAGGGAGGGGAGAGGGGAAATCCAGGAGCCAAAAGGCCCGGAGGCAAAGAGACCATAAGGTTAAAGGGTAAAAGGACCAAGTAGCCCAAATGACTAGACTATATAGAAAAGAGCAACTGGGGAAAGGTAGCCCAGCTTCAGGCAGAGTGTTCAGGGCAGGGGGCAGGGTATGCCAGCCAGGAGGACCCTGAAATAGGTAGGGACTGAGGAATGCTGGGAGATCCTGGTGGCCAGGTCTGCTCTGATACGTCAATAGGCATCTCAGGCCTTTGACCCTGGTTTGAGACCTAAGAAACACTACCTCAAGTTGACGCAGTCCAGATGGTCCTGGCCTGGCTGACACGAACCACAGAGTCACCAGACTCTGGCTACTTTGGGGCTGCACGCTTGCCCGCATTCTCTGAGTCTCTTGGTCTCTGCAAACACTGACCGTGGGTAGGATGGTTTGGTTTGCCGAAGGCTTTCTGCAAGATGGAGTCACTCTGACTAGGATCCGGAGGATGGGTCTCACTATAAGCCTCAGCATTTTCAGCCTTTCTAGCAGAAGATGTGCCCCATGGCTCCCTAGAAAGGAAACCACCGCAGCCAGGCCCAAGAAGGAGACTCCAGCAGCAATTGTTTAACAAATACTCAAATGCAAAAGCTAGAGCCGGGGCTGATGCTCAGCTACAAGCTGAACTTGGCCACTGAGGACCCAGGGGTAAATGTCAGCAGACAAGAAGGCCTTGGAGGAGCCTAAACAGTCATCTCAGTGGGGAAAAATGGGTTTTTGAAAGGCTAACAAAGAATCAAGATACAGAGAGAGACATGGTGGCTCAACTCTAAAGGGACAGGAATTCAAGGCCATCCTAGGCTACAAAGTGAGTTAGGGACTAGCCTGAGCTACATAAGACTGTCTCAGATGTGATAGTCTCCTTACCACCCACCCACTGCCAATATAAGATCAAGATCCCTGATGTCGCCAGGGCTACTCTGGCTGATCCAGTAGTGTAAGCCATGAGGGGCAGGACCTGGAGGTTGGTGTGTGGCCCCAAGTCCCCAAGGCACAACTTTCATCTAAGTGTGAGAACCTTCATCAACAGGAGAGTCCATCTCAACACAGAAATGCCAGCTCCCTGGCACCAGGGTGCGCAACCCCCATTAACAACTGTCTTCCCTCAGAGAGAAAATATCAAGCCTTTCAATGTCACCACTGTCCCAAGGATCCTGAACTCCCTTATAATAGATTCTCTTGGCTTGTGTTAATGTCCCCTGTTTTGAACTAATGAAAAGACCTTTGTATTAGTTCCAGGATTGGCAGATAAAACACAGGGTACCTTGTGACTGAAAATCTCAGGTAAACACTGACCATTGTTTTCACGGCAGTGTGTGCCCGGCTTACAACCATTTACCTGAAATTCAAATTTGCTGGGCGGCCTGTATTTTCATTTGCTGTCTCTGGTAACTTTAATTAGTCTCTGTTAATCCCTTCTTCCCCTCATTTGTTTGTTTCCTTTAAACACAGGGTCTTATTACATAGTCTTAGCTGGCCTGGAACTTACTAGGTAGACCAGGCTGGCCTTGAACTCACAGAGATCCACCCTCTTCTGCCTCCTGAGTGCTGGGATCAAAGGTGTGCTGGCCCTTCCTTTATCAGCACACTCAGACACTGATTTTTGTTTGCAGACCAGGTCTAATTTAGCTCAAGCTGAACTCAGACCGGATATTGTTGGCTCTCAAAGAAAACCAGGACAAATAGCTAACTATTTAACATATCAGAGTGGACTCTGGTCTTTCCCTTGGTCCCTACTCACAAGGACCTGTCACAGAGTCTTCCTGGCTGACATCCCCTGGTCCCAACCTCTCCAGTCCCTGAGCATCACTCTCCTGACCCCAGCTTCTTTGATTCCTAAATAACCCAGCCATTTTGGCTCTGTCTCCTCTTGGTCCAGGTGCTCTTTGGCCTTTCAGTCCATGGCTCTTCTCTTGGTCTGACTCCCCCACCCTGTGTTTCTCCCTTTCTTGACCTCCTCTCCCCGCCTCCCCTGTCTAATGCCCTGATATTCACAGGGTTGTAGCGAGTCAAGTCAGGAGGGCAGTGTCTTGTTCCTGACCTTGCAGATGGGAAGCCTGCGACTCCTGACCACCCAACCTATGACCTCTTTGTTACTGTGCCATCATGGTGTTACCCCATGGATGGATCACCTGAGAGATATCCAGAGAGAACCCAGGGCAAGGACAGGGAGCCTGGCCCCACTATCAAGTGGCCTCTGATTGTCCCGGATGGGGCAGGGTGGTGGCCATCTTGCATCTACTGGATGGGACAGGGGGCCAGCCATTTTGTTTGCACTGCATAGAGCAAAGGGGTGATCATCGGGCGTCCCAGGAAAGATCCAGCTCACTCTCTGAGAAAGTCAGCTTCTTTATTAGCTCAAACAATACAGTACAAAAATGAGACTTGGATGCCAGCATCAGAAACTCATATCAAACCCTCCACACCCAGAAGGTTGTGGCTGCCGACGAGAAACTGCCGCATCAGGCAGCTCGCAATCACCAGCAACCCCAGCACCGTGAGATACAGTGCCCCCTTCTGGCCTCTGAGGGCACTGCACTCATGTGCACGTACCCACGCATGCATAATTTAAAATAAAAGTCAAACCTTAAATAGATAAAAAGAAACTGTACAGTTGGGTATGACAGCACACACCTGTAATCCCAGCTATTATTAGGCAGAGCTGAACTGCCGAAAGTTCAAGGCCAGCCTGGACTATGTATGAGATTGTCTTAATAATAAAAATAATAAAGAAAAATAAATTATGCACAAAACGTTCCTGACCCTCATTTCAAAACTTAGTTCTTGCATGTCAGTGACACATCCCTGAATACTGCCTAAATAAATCTATAAAGAGGTCACCAAGTTCCAATAAAAACACCTTGAAGCAATAAAAAAATATGGATGATTTTAGTTGAACTTCCTGAAAGGATTTGTCGGGTGTGAGGCCGGCCCCACCTGAGAGTCCAGGCCTCCCTGCCTCACTCTGTCTCCAGCCTGTAGTGCTTGCCAAGAGCCTGACGTGGCCACGAATAGTCTCCAAGCTAACGAGACACTGAGACTCCGTCTGCCATCCAGACTTTAATGCTCATGGCCACACCTTCCTGCCGACAGCCCAGGGAGTCAGTGGCCCTGTCACCTGACATGTGATAAACTGCCCATCTGAGTCATTGACCAGCTGCGCCTGGATGCAGGGCCTTTTGTGCCCACACCTCACAGTTGTACAAATAGACACAGCCACAAGAGAAGCCATCTCAAGACACTTCATAGCCATCAGCTCAGAGCGTCTTGCCATGTCCACAGAGTGCAGGACAGGGAGAAGGCTGCATGTCCTGGGGAGTGGGAGCCGCTCATCACATTCACCGTGTGCAGAAGGACAGGATGAAGGCTGCGTGTCCCGGGCCATAGGCTCTGGAACAGTGCACACCTGTGCAGCCATCCGGGGCAGTCCAGCTTGACGCCCTCCTCGACCTCGGATGTGACCATGATAAAGGAGCCCAGGTGTAGCACGCATCTGTACTCAGAGTACTCAAGAGGCTAGCCTGGACTACCTAGTGAGTCCTCGTCTCAATACAATCATTATAGACATAACACTAGATAACGTTCGGAGTCTTCACGAGGGCTGATAGGATTCTGGCAGATCAGGGGTTCCCCCAATCTACAGTTCACCCCAGGCTTCTGCAGAGTCCCCAGGGGTCATTCATGAATCCAGGAGCATTAAACACTATTTGGCCAACAGAGTAAAGGACATGTGGCAGGGACTCAGCTGTTTGAATGCATGGACATTTTTTGGGTTGGAGACTGAACTAAAAAAATTATTTTTTAAAACAAAGACTCATTTATGGTGGGGTATGGTGGCACACACTTGTGACGTCAGCACTGGAGAGGCAGAAATGGTGGATCCCTGGGGCTCTCAACATTACACAAGCCTACTTGGTGAGTCCCATGCCAGTGACAGACCTTGTTTGGAAAACAAGGCAGATGGAACTGGAGCAGGATATCTGGGGCTGACCTCTGACCTATACCCACATACCATCCCCGCACACCCACAAAGATACAGACACAGGCAGACAGATAAACAGACAGAGAGAGACAGACAGGCAGATACACAGAAACAGACAGGCAGACAGACAGATAAACACACACACAGAGACATACAGGCAGGCAGGTCTCTGGGTGTTAGCATGCAGGCATCTGCACTGGCTGCCCTTGAGGTCCTGATAGGAAGGATCCTCAGCTGCAGCCACTAAGAACACCACCCACTGTGCACACTGGCTAGGTCCGCTTTTAAAAGGTGGGCCTTACCCACCTCCCATCTCTGGTCTCTTCCTCTCTCTCTCTCTCTCTCTCTCTCTCTCTCTCTCTCTCTCTCTGCCTCTCCTATCCCCAGAGGCCCCTCTCACCTTCCCCTTTCCCATTCACTTTCCACCAGTAAAAAGTCTCTCCACCTGAGCTCTGTCCCACACAGACTGGCAGACAGACAGACAGACAGACAGACAGACACACACACACACACACACAGAGAGAGAGAGAGAGGCACACACACACACACAGACAACACACACATGCCCCAGCTAAGACTCATTGAAAGCTGGATCTAGCAGGTGGCAGTCAGCCTCCTTCTAGCAGGTGGCAGTCAGCCTCCTTCATTGTTTTGTTTTTTGTTTGTTGTTTGTTTTTGAGACAGGGTTTCTCTGTGTTGCTTTGGAGCCTGTCTTGGAACTAGCTCTGTAGACCAGGCTGGCCTCGAACTCACAGGGATCCGCCTGCCTCTGCTTCCCGAGTGCTGGCATTAAAGCCGTGCGCCACCACTGCCTGGCAGTCAGCCTCCTTCATGATGGTGGAATGCAGAGGTGCAGAGGTGCGACCTCTCCTTAGGTTCCATGGATGGAATCTGCTTCCCTAACCCCAACCCACTGCCCACCCCCAACATGGCCTCTGGGGCCAGTTTCCAGGAAGAAAAGCAGTCTCAGGCAGTGTCAACTGCACAGAGGGTCGTTGCCCACGCTCGTCTCCAGGTGTGTTTGGGAAGCACAGAACCGGGCCATCCTTCAGGGTCTTCTGGGTCTCTAGCCAAAGCTGCTGACTCTGGCTAGTCCGGAAGAACTTGGGTATGAAATGCGGCCTTCAGTCTGGACTCTGACCATCCAGACTCATGATGTTCTGGGAAGGGAAGAGCCACAGCCAGTCAGCAGCTCCCACTCTGCAAACAGCAAGCTTCCTATGCCCCTATCCACACCCACGCTGTGTCCACTAGCCTTTGCAGCCCTCCCCCACCATACCCGCTGTCCCCAGTCCCTCCACCTCAGCTACAGTCTCCAAGTCTGATCTCCCACACTGCATCTGCCAACCGTTGGCTTCACCTGCTTTGGCTGCCAGTCCTCTGACATTTGACTACTGCTTAATTCTGTCCTTGAGGTTCAGAATCTCTCAGGAGTTTGCGGCAAGGAGGTGGCCTTTGAACTGAAGCCTAAACAGTCTGACTGAGGGGCCAGAAAGATGGCTCGGCAGGTAAAGGCACTTGCCACTAAGCCTGGGCCCACACGGCAGGAGAGGGCCAACTCCTACAAGTTGTCCCCCGGCCTCCACACATGTGCTGTGGCACTCACACGCATGGTGCGTGTGCACGTGCCACACACAACAAATAAATGTTATTTTGAGAGAAGACTTTAGAGTCTGATTGATCATATCGGAAAAGTCAGAAAAGCCACTTGTCCCTTGTGTCCCACTGATGCCCCTCCCCTCCGACTCTCACCTGCTGGGCCTTCCTGGACAGGAAGTGGGCATAACTGTGGCCCTGGTATTGACCTCTGGATTGCATGAGGGTGCAGATGGCACAGCTGTGGTTGGCGGCAAACTTGTTCAGTGAGCCAAAGGCGCATGGCGGGGGTCTGTTGACGAGGCTGCTGTCTTCCTCTGCGAGGCGGGCCTTCTGTCTCTCTAAGGTGGCCACCAGCTTCCTGAGAGAGGCTTCCGAGAATTGATTGAAGAAGTCCCTGAAGCTGGGGTACTGCCGGATCTGGAACAAGCGTGGAGGTCGTCAGTGCAGCTGGCAGAGTCCCTGCCACCCCAGCCTGCTCCCTAGTATCCGTTGTGCGCACCCCTTCATTAAACCCCTTCACCACCCACTCTCACTTGTACAAGAATGGCCCACAGCTGCAGAGCACAGCAAAAACTGAAGTCACATGCATATCGCTCCGGGCAGAATGTGTCCCTCTGAGCCTCTGTTTGGCTATAAAAATGAGGAGACCAGATCCCCTCTCCAAAATGGTTAGGGGCAGAAGCAAGACAGTTCATGCAGAACATTTAGTGGCCACTTAGCGCCTCTCTAAGGTCCTTCTGATCAGTTTCTTTCTCTTCATATCTGGATATGGCAGCCGGGGTCTCCTGGGGGACAAGGGACCCCCAAAACAAAGACTTGGGTCCCATGTGGTTTATTTGAGATCTAGAGGCACACTGATGGAGTATAAGGACCTGGGACAAGGAGGCCCAGACAGTGGGTGTGTAGATGCGTCTTAGGGAGGGCTGGGGTCTTCAGACCCTCACTCCTGGCAACCATGGTGGAGGCTGCTTGGTTGCTCAGTGTTGATTTCTCCCTGCTGGGTCTCTGGGTCACTAGGTGGTGAGATGCAGATGTCCTGGTGCTAGAAAGCCGAGGCACCTCCCCTCTCTCACATGGGACCTGCCTGTCGCTCTCACTCTTGGGGAGACTGCTGGTCATGGGCAGGTAAGCCACAAGCTTGTAAGAACTGGATCCAGCTAAGCTGTTCACCAGCATGGCTGCCACGGCAGAAAGTGTCCCTGCAGCAGGATCTGAAGGGTTGGATGCTGCAAGGTCTTGGGGTGCTGGGGATTTGGCTTGGGGAGCCACTGAACATTCTGACATTCTGGTGCGTGTGCTGCCACCCCCATACAGCTCTGGGCTTACAGGGGCACAAGGCCATGTCCGGCTTTTTTACATGTGTGCTTGGGCTTTGAACTCAGGCTCTTACTGCTGAGCTATCACCCTAGCCTGCCTGTGTCCTGTTATCTTAAATAAACATTCTTTGCACCTGCCGCGCCCGCATTAGGAGTTCTCTACACTGGCACTGTCTGGGCAAGCAGGAAGTATCCCTGTTTTACAGAAGAGGCAGCTGAGGCTCAGCGAGGTTCAGGAACATGACCAAGGTCACTCAGAAGGAGGACACAGGTCTCAGAGGAGGGTGCGTGAGCCCCAGCATCCTCCTAGGGAGTTTGAGGGACACTCACCTGCCTTCCTAGGTCGTCGTCCACCTCTTGGAGACCTTCCACCAACTTACGGATGATGGACTCCTCTGGGGGAAGAGAAGAAGGATGAGAAGCTGTCCCCAGTGGCACCCGGTGCCCATGACAGACTGCCACAGCAGCATAGCTGACCAAATAAAGATCGATGTTCCCTCCACCTGTGACCGCACTCGGCTCCTACCTGACACTGAGGGAACCTGGGGGCTCCTAACGTCAGGAATGGAGACTTGCTCCTGGGGTGGCCAGCTACGGGCTGCCACAACAGGAGAGCCACTCAGCTGGGTCCTCAGCCCCTTGTTGCCGGTTTGGGCTGAGGTATGCAGGAAACCCACGGAGAGGTCATTACAAGTTGTTGGGAGCTCAAGTCGGACCAAGACAGAACCGCCTACACCAGAGAAATGGACTAATGCCCCCAAAGCCTCATCTGGACCTTCGCCCAGGAGCCCCAGTTTAAAGAGCACATGGATGGTCCCTGTCCCCACTGTAAGGTCTCTGGAGGCAGGGTTCAGATTCTTTCTCCACCCCTAGGAGCAATCCCTACTTAGCCAGGGCTATTGTGTGCGAGAGGAGCTGGCAGAAGCTATCTCTATGGGCGCAGGATATACTGACTAGATTCCGAGGCTCCCTCTGGTACAGGTAGAGGCTGCTCATCTGGTGTGACTCTTCTAGACCGGAAAGGAGCTTCTGGGGACCCGACTGGTTCCCCTCCTGCAGCCTCCAGCTTCTGGAACTCCAGGTCTTCTGCACAGGAAAAGTAGATGAACTTGACATCGGTCCCAGTCCTGGGGAGACCCTGGCCCTGCCCTCCTCCTCAGGGAATCTCAGTGTTCCCTCTCTGTCCTCTGCCTTCCTTGGTCTGTAGTTTAAAAAGCACAGGGACAAGCCCATGGCTCCCACCCAGCAAAATCACAGCCCGGTCAGTCTGAACTCCACCTTCCCCGCTGTCAAATGGAATCATAAGACGGACCTCCGTGTTAGATGAGAGGGTACTGTGTTAGTGGGATATACAGCAGGCACTGGGCTAATACCAGGCTATCAGGGCACACCTAGAGCCCCATGCTTTAGTGCGGTCCCATCCAACAGTCCCCTGGTCTGTTTCTGTCAGTGTCCCCTAGAGACATCTAACAGACAATCACAGATCTAGCAATGCCTTTGTTTTTAAGAAGAGGGAACTCTGAGTTTTTTGGTGGGTGTCCTGCTGAAAACTGCCCACCCCCACTCTTCCCACAGCAGGAAGCTGATGTCAAGACACCAGGCCTGCTCACCTGGGTCCCCGGAGATGGAAGCTCTGTGGCCACTGACACACGTGGGCAGGAAGCCGTGCCTCTTGGGTGGCCGGGCCTCTGGGCTGGCGGCACCGGGAGTCCCCGAAGCCTCAGTTCTCTTGGGATCCTTGGAGCCATGTTTCTTGAGGGAAAAGGCCCGCCGGAGATTCGACTTCTTCCTGTGTGATTTCACCTTGGGAGCAGGGGTGGAGTTTTCTCCAGCCTCCTCTGCCTCCTGGACTTGAGCTTGCTATGTGGAGGAAGAGAGAAACTGAGGCAGGGTCCCTGACTTGGAGAAGGTCAAAGGTCAAAGGTGAACTATGGCCTAGGCAGACAGTGTAACCCAGCAGGGGGGTGATGGCATTTGGAGCTGGGGAGTGAGGTTTGGGGGAGGCCAGGACAGGGCTTAGAATGAAGCAAAGGGGTGTGGGGGTCCCCCAAAGAGCAGGATAGCGGGCAAAGGAGTCTCACCTGCTCTCCCTTCTGTTCCTCTGCGTTTTTTAATAGGACCAGGATCTTCCGCCTGAATTCTCCTAAGAAAAGGACAGGGTTTCTTACAAAAGCCTCCGTGACCCGCACTCATGTCCTCGGTGCAGGTCTGCACACCCCAGCCCTTCCGTTGCTCCTCTTTGCGTGTACACTCCAGCGTGCAAACATGGGCCCTCGTGCTTCTGAGGCACTAACACCGCCTGCTGTCTCCCCAGCTCCCCCCCCCCCCCCCCCCCAGAGGTCTCCAAGTGTGTGGACCTGACAGTATTTCACATCCAGGCCTGGCTCTGCCAAGGATAAAGTGATAAAGCTACTTCCCCTTTCTGTCCTCAGCCCAACTCTCAAGCCGGCCACCTAACAGGAATTACAGCACACAGTAGCTGATGCAACCTGTTCGCACCGCCCCCCATTCCTCACAGACCGTGGTTCAGGAACCCCAGCAACTCGCTAGGCCCACCCTTGCCAAATGAGGAAACCGAAGCCAGTCGAGGAAGGGTGCTCAGGGCCCATGCTGTCCCCACAGCCTGCTGCTTTCCCAAGGGGAGGCTGAAACAGGCCTCAGCCTCCCCCTCTCTACCTCAGTTTCTCTTCTTCAGGTGGCAGAGTCAAGACAGGTTCTCAGAGGGGGTCTCTGAGGGGCAGGGTACTAACTGGATTCATAGGCTCTGTCCCTCGGTGGCCTCTCTGCTGGTCCTTGACATGCAGCTGGGGTGTGGCACTCAGACAGATGTGAGCATCCGGGGTCTACAGATTGGACCTCGTGGAATCCAGGCTCCTCTGAGTCTGGGAAGGAGAAAGGGCAGTTAGTTAAGTGTGTGGCCACGTCCAGTGGCTGGCGCTGAGCCCAGGCGGGTGCCAGTGTACTTTGCTCTCGGTTCTGTTGGGCTCAGTTATCTTTTGGGCTGTGCCAGGTCAGGGGCTCTGCTTGGCTTTCTGCAGCCCCCAGAGCTGCGTTCCCCCTGTTTCTCTGCCCTTTCCCCTTTCCACGGGTCTCTCTACCTAGCTCCTGTTTGGCTTGGGACAAAAGATGCCTGGCTCCATGATATTAATGAAGGTCCATGGCCTAGATAGTCTTGCACGAAAATCTATCCTCTTATGACTCCAGGCACACGCTCCCTAAGCCAGAAACTCTCCTAGTCACGTGTCCAGACTGGCTCCCCCGCCCCCCACCTCCGGGGAAGAACCAATGTGATCCATCCTTGTCCCTGTAACTCTGGCTTCTCCAGCTTTGATGAATCACGTGACTATGATCACATCACCTCACCCCTGCACCCAGCTTCCTCACTGCCTAAGACAAACTGAGACACAGACAGACAGTAGGACACAGAGAGCAATCTGAGACACAGACAAACAGTAGGACACAGAGCAATCTGAGACACAGAGACAAGTCAGAGGAAACTGGGAGAGCCTGGGGCACTCAGCTGGTCGACAGTTTGCCTGGCAGACCCAAGGCCCTGGGCTCAATTCCTAGTAGGAAAGAAACCCGATGGTGGTGCACGAGCCTAGCATCTGGGAAGCGGAGGCAGGAGGACCAGGACAATTTTGGCTACACAAGGGAGTTTGAGACCAGCTTGGGCAAAGTGAGACAAACAAACAAGCAGAAAACAAAACAAGCAACAACAACAAATAGGGGTGTGTGTGAGGAGTTCTCGGTGGTTAAGATCACCCCGTGCTCTTCTAGGGAAGCGCTTTGACTCCTAGCACCCACGCGGTGGCTCACAAGCATCTGTAACCCCAGCTCCAGGGTGTCCGATGCCACCTCTGGCCTCCACAGATGCCAGACATGCACATGGTACCCAGACATACATGTAGGGAAAACATCCACACATATTGAGAGGGAAAAGAAAAGGTAGTTGGGAACCCAGGCCTCTGTCTCCAGTTCTGTCACGAGAACATCCCCAGCCCCGCTCAGAGATGGCGGTGGCTGGGGTCTTGGCCTGCAGTCCCATCAAGGGCTCGGGTGTGCTGTCTGCACCCAGGCGAGGCCATGTGGAGGTGACCAGCTTCCGTCCCTTCTCCATCCCCAACCCTCTCTACACTGCTCAAGGCCTAGTGTGGACTTCAGAATGAAACTGACCAATCCCAGCCCTGGGAAGATTTCAGAGCTGGAAGGAAGCCACAGTTGCTATGACAACTGCCTGAGCCTGCTCACCGGGGTTGCTGGAGGCAGAAAGTCGCTGGCCACTAAGACACAGGGGTAGGAAGCTGGGCCTCTTGGGTCGGGTTTCTGGGCCAAGGGCCGCTGCAGCCACTCTCTTGGGTTCCTCGGAGGCAGGCCTCTTGAGGGACAAAGCTTTCTTCAGGGTGGACTTCTTTTCCTGGGATTTCTTCCTGGGGGGCGGTGTCGGCTTTTGTGGAGCCACTTCCGGCTGAGGGACTTGCGCTTGCTGTGGAGAGGAGGGAGACCGCGAATCAGGAGCCTGACCTTGGGGAGAGAGTCAAGGCAGCCCCAGACAGGGAGTGGGAGTGGGGTTAACAGGCGGGCACGAACCCGGAGCTGCAGGAGCCCTGCAGGCGGTCTCTGATGCCAGCACCTCACCTCTTCCTCCAGACGGTCCCCTGCTCTCTTGAGCAACTCCACGATCTTCCAGATGAGTTCGTCCTCTGCAAGAGAGTAAGGGTCCCACCACTCCTAAGTACAGCGGCAGTGTTCCGATCTGGACCCCCAGAGTGAATGTGGCCAGTCTGGTTCTCTTGGGCATCCACAACAGCTCATTAAAGGGTTTGCAAAGGGAAAGCCCCATGTCCCCCAGCTAACCACCCCTAGTCACAGGGAAGCATTTTTGAGCCCAAGCATGACTTTTTAAGTTTTTTAAATTAATTTTTACTTCTTTTTTTTTTTAATTAAGGAGAAGAGAAGCAGTTCACATGTGGGGGTCAGGGCACAATTTTGGGAAGTCTGTTCTCCCTTTCTATTATGTGGGTCAGGTCGTCAGCCTTGGTGGAATGGAACAGTCCAAAGCATGACATTTTATGTAGGGATTCAAGGCCAGATGTCCAGGAATTCAGTCTGCCCTGCTAACTGAGCTTCAGAGACTTGTGAATATCAGTGTTGTGGTTGATGATGGCTACGTTTCTTTACACTCTCTGGGTCTTTAGAACTGTCCCTGTGAAATGTGGGTCACAATTTCACCCTGTCTCTCTCAGAGTTTGTCCAGACATCAAACAAGAAACAGAACTTAGAAACATTTCCCAAGACTGGCCCCAAGTCCAGCCTATGCCATTCCCAGGGGACTGTAGAAATGGCAGATCCCCAGCCTAAGCCTCAGAGAGGACACTGGCTGGCACATTGGGTCACAGTGGCCCTGCCGCATAATCGCCTCCGCTGCATGTCATGCAGGAGAACATTCCCCAGGGGGGTGTGCCCACTCCACTAGCTGTGTGCCAAAGGTCTGTTTGCACAAAAAGTCAAGCAGAGGAGAGCCTCTGTGCCTGGGCTAACTACAGAGTCTCTGCCCCTCAGTCCAGCTCTCTCGCACACCAGTTCCCCGGGCTTCCAGTTTCCTGACGCAGCCTATGAGGCAACTATAAACCAAATGCCTCACAAACTGGGCACAGAAAAGTCTTTCTACCTCTTTCACGGCCCGGCTTTTTAGAGAATTAGATGAGGAGGGTGTGTTAGGATTGGCTAGGGGTGAATCCGGATTGTGCACTGTTTAAGTCCGTAGAGATGAAATGTCTTTTTATTCCCTATGGTTCTGAGAGAAAATGTTCCAAAACAGTGTGACAGCTCCTAGCTGTGGCCGCTGGACGATTCTTTCCATTATTACAATATCTGTTTTATTTATTTAAGCCCAACGCCTCTTACGTGCTAAGCAGCATCCCTGCCTAACTACACCTTCAGTGCCTACTTGATAGATAAGTAGTAAATGTAGTAAATAGATTAGATTAGATTAGATAGATGATTGATAGATGGCAGATAGATGATAGACAGACAGACAGACAGACAGATGATACGTGAGAAGGATGTCCTGTAGCTCAAACTGGTCTCCTGCAGTCACTGTGTAGCAAGTGGCCTTGAACATCTTTTTTTGTTTTGTTTTGTTTTACATAAGGTTTCTCTGCGAAACCCTGGCTATCCTAGAACTTGTTCTATAGACGAGAGCTGGCCTCAGACTCACAGAGACAGCCTGCCTCTGCCTCCCAACGCCTGCGCCACCACTGCTGGGTGGATTTGAATCTGTAACCTCCTGCCTCTACCTCCCCAGCGCTAGTCTTACAGGCGTACACCCCCACACCCCATTTATGCAATGCTGGGAATGCCAGCCTTGTGTGTGCCAGGCAAGCTCTCTACCAACTGAGCTACACTCCTGGCCCCTCTCCTCTATATTTTTTAAAAAATCTTTATTTATCTATTTATTATGTACACAGTGTTCTGTCTACATGTACCCTTGGATGCCAGAAGAGGGCACCAGATCTCATTACAGATGGTTGGGAGCCACCACGTGGGCGCTTGGAATTGAACTCAGGACCTCTGGAAGAACAGGCAGTGCTCTTAACCTCTGAGCCATCTCTCCAGCCCTCTCTTCTATATTTTTAAGTACATTTGAGAGATTGAAAGCAAAGGCATATTCCCATTGACTCAGAGGCAGGAGTGCTTGCCAGCTGCCTTTCGGGAACTTCTGCCTTCCTCTCAGACTCGAAAATAAGCACCCAGTGCCAGAAGCACAAGATAGACATGAAAGGTGTGTGTGTGTGTGTGTGTGTGTGTGTGTGTGTGTATAGACTCACCCCATTAGGTCTCACCCTGAGTGGCCCCTCTAGTTTTCTGCAGTATATTTTCTGACCCATAAGGAAAGAAGGACCCTAGACATTTGCGACTCACGGTCAGGCTGTTGAGGGTCCTCTTCTAATGGGGGACCTGCGGCTTGGGCAGAACTCTCTGAGGATTCAGCATGACCTCCCTCGGTGGGCAAGGCCTGAAGGATTTCAGAATCTGGTGTCTCTGGAAGTCAAATGAGCAGACGCCTGGGTTAATGACATTCTTCCAACCTTGTTAACCCACAGGTGGTGTGGATTCCAACGGGTGACAGGCCAGGCAGCAGCCACCCTAATCCTCACCCCAGATCAGAAACTGGCTAGGATTTCCCAGTGAAAAGGGGGGTGTCTCAGGCCAGGATCCCCTCCCTCCAGCTCTCCCCAGAGCCTCCTTCCCATCAGAGTCTGTGGCTGCACAGAAGCCTCCAGCACACAGCTGAGGCCTCTGGGAGTGGAGAAGACGTCACTCCCCAGCCTCAGCTGCAGGGACGCCCTGCTCTCTCCTTTTACCACGAAGGACTCAAAGGCTCCAGGGCAAGCCATTGCAAAAACCACCATAGCAGATTTGTTCTTCAGGGGCAAGGTCTAGACAGAGCACCGGGCCAGCACCCATAGACCTGTGGGGCAAGAGATCAGCAACTTCCACTCCTCCCCAAATCTCATTGCACTTGCTTTTGTATGAGCTGCGTCGACCCATGAGACAGCAACCAACCATTTTATCTATTTTTGTAGATGGGACGGAGGGCACATTAAGGCCCAGAGGGATGTCACCAGCTCTAGGCCACGCAGCATATGGAATGGTGGCATCCCAATGGGTTGATCTCAAGTGTTCAGCTGTTCAGCCTCATAGAAATGTCCCTCACAGTCCACATCTGACCTAGTGGAGGACATTTAATAGACAAACTTGGGGCACCCTGATCCTTGAGGCTGGGACAATAGGGTTACCCTAGTCTGCTCACCCCTGCAGATCAGCCCCAGGTTAGCCTCCTCAGCGGCGTGGGAAGCAGCTCTGCTGGGCAGTAAGTTTTCGTGGCCTTCTGCCTCTGAGTTCTGGGGCCCTGAGGGCTCTTCAGGAGCAGGCTTCTTGTGCGTGGGTTTCTTACGGCTGGTCCTCTTCTCCTGGGATTTCTTCCTGACGGCTGGCTCCTCCGTTGCCTCTGGGAGCTTGATCTCTCCTTTCCCCTTTGATTTCTTGCTGGCTTTTTCTCTGGGCTCCTCTAGATCAAACCTCAGGAATAAGACATTCAGGAACATGCTAATCCAGCTCTGCTGGGCTTGCTTTGGGGGCCTCTCTTTCTTAGGGCCTTCTACGGGCCCCTGCTCACAGGGGAGAAATTCGCTTTCTTCTCCTAGAGGGGGCGCTGCGGCCACAGCTTCCTGGGCCTCTGCAAAGTGGTAGGGGCTCCCGGAACCTCTGGTCTCATCGCTGGCTGTCCTGCGAAGCACCTTCCTGTGGGTGGGCCCAGAGGAGTACTTGGAGTTCGCGGACTCAGAGTCCTTGAGAACCTGCCGGTCCAAGGATTGGGTTCTTTTATCTGTGGGAGGCTTCTTCGGGCCCCTTTGGGTCTCGATTGGGCTACAACCAAAGCAAACAGGTCGCTCAGGAGAGTTCAGTCAAAGACTGACCCGTGCCCGCCTGCACTCACGCACCTCCCATGCTGTGCAGTCACCCTCCCCTGGTGACGCTTTAAAACTTCCATCTTGTTTAACGACAACCCCACGGGGAAGGGGGTCACCACCTTTCATTTTCCAGAGAAGGAAATGGAACCAGATTCTCCAGCTAGCTTGTAGCACCACCGGAGTGGCCCAGAGGAACACAGCCCCAGAAGATTTTGGGTTTGCGACTCTAAAATAGCTAACTGGTCAGGAGACCTTTGCCGCAGCAGAAACGGGACCCTCGCGCTCCTCCTTCCCACACTGTGCGCAACCGCAGCAACTGTGATCTGAGAATCAAAGACCAGAACTGCAGCTCACAGAGGAAAGACTAAGTACAAGCACCTTGGTGGCCCCGAGTCTCATTTACACTCGAAGGTTCAGGAGCAGCTGGGACCCAAGCTGCTGCAGCCATGAGGGGAGCAAGCCCGGCTCTGCGTGCTGCTGCCTCCCTCCCGTCTTCCTTTCTCCCCTTTATTGTTTATTTAGAGACAAGGTCTCATAATGTAGCCCAGGTTAGCCTCCATCTCTTGGTCATGCCTCAGTCTCCTGAGTACACTGTCATACCATGACCTGACCTGTTTCATACTCAGGGCAGCAAACTGTTCACGTTTCTGTAAGTCATATTTATGCTTTTAGCACTGGTGCTGGTGCCCAGATCCTTGATGCTAGCAAGATTGCTACCTCTGGTCATACCCCTGTGTGGTCTCCTGTTCCTTTCCCCCTTTCTACCATTTGTTTTGTTTATTTTTCAAGACAAGGGTCTCTACATAGCCCTGGCTATCCTGGAACTCAATATGTAGACCAGGCTGGCCTCAGACTCACAGAGATCTGCCCAAGTGCTGGAACTACAGGTATGTGTTACCACGCCCAGCATATTTGGGCATATGTGTTTGTCTGTGGATATGTGCATGTGAGCACATGTGTGCACAGAGTCAGAAGAGAATGTTGAACTCCCTAGAGCTGGAGTTACAGGAGGCTGTTGTGAGTTGTCTTATGTGGGTGCTTTGAATATATATAATTACTATATTAATATGTATCTTGCATATATATTGATATATAATATACATATATATTATATTATATCATGAGCTGGTAAGATGGCTCAGCGGTTTCAAGAGTGTACTGCTCTTCCAGAGGCCCCGAGTTCTGTCCCTAGCACCACCTCAGAGCTCACAAATGTCTATAACTCCAGCTCCAAGGGGATCTGACGCCCTCTGTTGCCTCCACAGGCACCTCCACATGGTGGATCTGCTCTTGTCCACAGTCATATATGGCAGTTCACGCATACATGCTCACACACACACACACAATAAAATACATATTTTCATCACATCCCTTGCCTTTATTAACTAGTTAATTTATCTTAAATATATCCTACTGATGGGTCTACCACAGAAGCAAAATAAGAATCTGGAATCGGGCTGGTGAGATGGCTCAGCGGATAAAGGTGATTGCTGCCAATCCTGCCAACCTGAGTTCAATCCCTGGGACCCACGTGATAGAAGGAACACTCTGACTCTGAAAAGTGGTCCTCTGAGTTTCACCTAGTGCCGTGGCACAAGCACACACACACACACACACACACACACACACACACACACACAATTAAAACGTAAATAATTTAAGAATAAAGCACCTAGAGCTGCAGTTCCTTGTGTGTGGGATCTGTGAGAGCTCACGAAAGGAAAATAAGCAGTGGGAAAGCTGAGGGTGAGCCCCGGGGGATCTGAAGGTGTCTTTCAGGCCTCTGTCTGGGCTGGGAGACCTGAACCCCACAGCAGGTCACTGCAGGCCATGGAGACCACACTGCTGCTGTCACACATGGACCATCCTGAAGGAAGTGAGGATGTTGTTGGGCCAGGGGAGGAGGTGAGCAGTTTGGACAGCAGCTCTGGTTATTAATGTTCCTTAAAGGGAACATGTGGGCCATGTAGAAACCCACAGTACTGCCTGCCTCTCACATAGAAACTGTCTCCTGTTCCAGAAAGCCCCAGAGGTCGGCTGCCTTGCTGTTGTTTCCAAAACACAGTTCTGGGTGGGAAAGGAGAAGCAAATATCGAGGGAAATATTTGACTTTCCCCACGCTCACTTCTTCTGGCTTTTACCACCCACTAGCGACGCCTCCGGAATCCCACAGTCGTGAGCTGGACATGACGTTCATCTAAAACAGGATATTCTGGTGTTTAAACTGATAAAGCTGGGGCTAGAGGGTATGTGGACTTAAGAGAAGGCGAATTTAGACTAGTGGACTTGATTATATTAATTAGATTGAAGAAAGTCGAGCTGACCAAACAGTGGTCAGGGTTTCTGTCAGCCAGGACAACTGGTCGACCAAACCATGGAAGCAGTCACTGATAGGACACACTATTTGGCTCAGGTCCCCCTTCTTCCCTGAGGTGGTGTGGCCCAGGGCTCCATCCCACAGCAGGTAGGAGAGCATCCCCACTCAGCTGAAAGAAGGGACGGTTGCTATGAAAACAGTTCCCCCCCCCCCCCCCGGCGGTGGAGATGAACCCAGCCCCTTCCTGCTGCCTGACTTCACTCCATCCACACAGTCCCACAAGTCTTCCCAAGTTTCCCAGTGAAGGACCCCTCCAGGGTCCCCAAGACCTCCTGACCTTCAAGCCCAGGCCCTCTTCTTACTTGCCAGACTCCTGCCCAAGGTGTCCTGGTCTTTGGCCCCATGACCACCTCCTGGTAGCTCTTTTCAGGTGGTTTCAACTGATTGAACTGGTCTCTACTCTCCCCGGCCCCTCTGCCTGTTCCTTTTTTGGAATGTTCTAGAAACACTGTTCCAGATCCAGGCTGTCCAGAGTGGGTGAGCCTGTTAGCCCAGAGAGTTCAGCAAGTGACCCACCTCCCATGTTACACGGCTACTCACCTTTCTAGGTGTTCTCAGTGTGACATTTCACCTATCTAGAGTCATCATGGACAACTGACTCTCTTCTTCCCTGTTTCTTAATTTTGCACCAAGTCTGGCCTGACTGTAGGGGAATCCTGTCCTGGCCCAGACCAGGAGCCCATAAAAACCCAGCTATGTTACATAGAAACCCAGCTGTTGGTGTAAACACATTTATTGGCATGGCTGAGAGGAGACTTCAGGACAAAGTCCACTCTAGCCTGAAATGCCTGGTGATGCAGAGATCACAGAGCTTACAATAAGAAAATGGCTCCCGTGACTCATTTCACAGCCACAAAGGACCAGAGAAGTCACACCAAGCTGACATAGTTGTCCCCAGCACGAGGCTGTGTTTGGCATGTTTTCAAAACCGAACTCTGACCTCATCGTTATATTTGCTTGGCCTGATTCTCTCATGCCACAAAGTGCTCCCTCCTCCACCCCTGTAGGCATTTGACAGACACCATACACAGATGCCATGGAAGGCCTTGAGGAACACCGCATGCACGCTGTCAGCCTGCCCTAGCTCAGAATGTTCGATACCGTCTGTTTCGAGTGTAAGAGGCTAAAATCGCATGGCCAAGCTTGCTGCTGGCCTCACAGCTAAGATCCATAAGGGATGCCTGGCCAGCGGCTTCCCTGCTGTTCCCACCCCTGGCCAGGCAGGTCCTGGGGATTTAGGGAACAAATACATAATTATACACAAACACACCGTGAGCCCTTTCACCTCTGTGATCTCATTGACTCTGAGAGTGCCCCATGAGTCAGATGGTCTGACATGGGGGACTGATGCCCTGAGCCTCACACAGCCGATGTCCCAGTGCTGGGAGCAGAGCGCTAGGCTTGAATATTCCCCACCCCCGACCCCAGCCACCATCCCATTCCAAACCCTGCCTTCTCACTCCTACACCACGCAACATCTTCTAAGCACACATGTGTGTGCAATGGACACATGTACCCCAGACACAAGACTGCAAACCCAGAGCGGGCCTCACAACCCCGCGGCCAATGGCTAGGCTGAGCTCACGCTGTCTCTCACGGGCCCATGTGACCGCAGCTCTCAGTCAGGCTCCCAGCCTTCCAACAAGAGCCAGGAGAAGCTAACTCTGTATCCATCACTCGGACCCCTGCAGTGGTGCGGCTCCTCTCACAGCTGCCCCCTTCCACATTCCTCCGTGACCCCTGCGCCTCCGCTGCCACGCCCGGAACGGGAAACATGGTGGCCTCGTTCTCCTGAAACACCGGGCCTGTCCTGGCCCCCCTTGTTAAATGTGACAGCTCAAGGTCTCCATCTTTTCTGTGGGGTCTTTCTTGGGTTCCTACAACGCACAGGCCCCGCAAAGTGCCAAGTCCACCCACTGTAGTGTGGGAATCCTCCAGACCCATCCTGGCAGGCTTTCCTGAAAGTGCTGAGGACCCTTCCTGCACAGGGGCCGAGTCCGAGGGGGGTTAACCAGAGCTGCGGCAGCCTTCCTTTACTAACTGAAAGAAAGTCCCCGAGCCCCTTACTCTTCCAGCCTGTTGCCCCAATTACCCCAGATCTATTGGCATTTCCTGGGTCCCTCACTTCTGAGCATCCTTCTCTGATGCTGCCAGCTGGTCCTGGTACATTGTGGGGGCCAGGGGCAGAGGCAGGAGGGCAGGGGCTCCTGCCAGGGCTTCGACCTCGGCAGTTGCAGAGAGATCAGCACACATTGCCTTCCTGAACACACAAGGATCCCAGGGATCCCTCAGAAAACCAGAGCACTGTGGTGGGTCAGCTAGACTGGCCTGAATTCTCTCTTGCATGTGTATGTATGTGCTCATGTGTTTACATGTAAGTGTATATGTGTATGTCTGTGTGTATTTGTGTATGTCTGTGTGTGCTGGGGTGTGATGTGAGGTGGGCATTGTATGTGTGGTGTATGTGTGGAGTGGAGGGGTGCGGGTATGTGTGGGTGTGCCAAGGCACACGGGACACGTATGTGGTGGTCAGAGGGGTCATCTTTCCTTTCTCCTTTCTGTGGTTCCAGGGACTGGACTCAGGCTGTCAGTCAGCAAGCGCCTGTACCTGTTGAGCCATCCTGCTGGCCCCTCTTCCATCTTTTTATAAATAAGAAAAAAAGATCCCAGCGGTGATGGCACACACCTTAAACCCCAGCATGCGGGAGGCAGAGGCAGGCGGAGCTCTGTGAGTTCAAAGCCAGCCTGGTCTACAGAGTGAGTTCCAGGACAGCCTGAACTGTTACAGAGAGAAACCCTGTCTGGAAAAAAAAAACAAAAAAACAAAAAAAAACAAAAAAAAAAAGAAAGAAAGAAAGAAAAAGAAAGAAGGAAGGAAGGAAAGGAAGAAAGAAAGAAAGAAAGAGAGAGAGAGAGAAGGAAGGAAGAAAGGAAAGAAGGAAAGAAAGAAAGAAAGAAAGAAAGAAAGAAAGAAAGAAAGAAAGAAAGAA